ACCCGCCCAGCGGCTGACTACAGGAAGCCCGAGGCAGAGTTGCTCTGCCCCAGGCTTCCTGGAATCAGCCGCTGATCAGTTTCAGCAGCAGCTGACTTGGGGACGCCTGGGGTTCTTAAGTTGAATCTGTATGTAAGTCAGAACTGGCGTCAGCCGCTGCTGAAACTGATCAGTTTCAACCACGGCTGAATCTGCACGCCAGTTCTGACTTACATACAGATTCAACTTAAGAACAAACCTACAGTCCCTATCTTGTACGTAACCCGGGGACTGCCTGTATTACTAAATTTGTCAAAACTATGGAAACTCCAGCTATAGCATCAGGCAGAAGAAACTAAGCTTACAACTAAGAAATTCGTGGGTTAAGTGAGTTTTACTGCAATGCACCTAAAAAGGAATCACTATCAAAAGGAAGGACTATCATAACAAGCAGCAAAAGAAAAACTTGTGAAATTTACACATGAGGTAGAATGGCATTCTTAAAGATCCATCAACATGATTCTTTGAAGATGACACCAATGAGCACCACAGATCTATAACTTTTACTTATGCCAAATTCTTCACAGTGAAACTACAACTTTAAAATGCTATACTTTATGCATAACTTATTTTTGAAAAACATTCGGACCTAGTGATGACAAATATGGGGATGAATCTGGGCCACAAGAAAAAAATGCATCTGGGATTTCTGAAGAATTGGAATTAGGATTGCATGCTCTAAATAAGTTCTCAGATGTTTAGAAGCCTCTTTTGGACTAGTGTTTCTGCTCTATCCTTGGCAATGGTATGAGAAACACAGTTTGGCAATCCAGAATATAAGTGGCCAAAGGAACATATAACTGATTGATATGTAGTTTAAATTGCCTATTATAAAGAAAGAAAACCAGCAGAATGTCATCTATATCTCAGTTAAATTTTAGAAAACAAAGAAAATTCCACTATATTATTTTTTAATGGACAATTTGATTCCCTCTATACTGAACCAGAGTATAAAAAGATTATGTAATCTAACAAATTTCTATTAAATCTCTAACAATCCAAGCACAGGATATAGGACTATAGCTTAGACATGGTGATAGCCCCCAGAGACTTGTAATGGATATTAACTTCACCTGATCACTAAATCCCCAAGAAGTATTTTTAATCCAGATAAAAACTGGACGTTAACAAAGGAAAGTATGTATTTAGATAGTTTTATGCAGTATCTTCCTTTTTGGGTCAGCAAATCAACCAAACCAATTTTCTCTGAGGGAATTCACAGAAAAGCCCGATTAAAAATTTTCAGATTGTGATTATGGATGTTAAATTTAGATTAACTGGCTAACTGAATAGTCGATGCAATTTGCATCAACTATTTGATTAGTTGATAAGGGCGCATCCTCCTTTGTAGTGTACCAACAGCCCCAGGGCTGTTGCTACGCTTCAATGGCAAAAGTGTTGTGGGGAGTGCAGGGCCAATGGGACACTGCCCTGTGCTCCCTGCAGCGTTTCAAAGCAGCAGTGCGGCATGGAGCCTGGGGTCAGATGGAGACTAAGAGTCCCCAGCTGACCCTGCGCTCCATGCCATGCTGCCACTTTGAAACGCTGTATGGAGCGCTTCAAAGCAGCAGCGCTGCACAGAGCCCAGGGTCTGTCCCCAGGCTCAATGTGGTGCTGCTGCTTTGAAGCACCCCCCTCTCTCCTCCTTGCTGCCTTTATCAGAACGAGGCATCTAGTCACTTCCTCCCCGCTTGCTGCCTCTATCAGAAAGAGGCAGCAAGGGGGGAGGAAGTGATTAGTCAACTAGTTCTGTTTGTTTCTGTTGTCACCTGGGAAGTACATTTGATCAAATATTCTAGTTGTTACGATTTCTCCTTCCCAATACACAGTATACTAGAACTTGAAAGGACCTTGAGAAATCATCAATTCCAGGCCCCTGACCTCATGGCAGGACCAAACACGTCTAGATCAGGGATGGTGAACCTTTTTTGGGTCCAAGGCCACTGACCCACAGAAAAATCAGTTGAAGGCTTCACACAAAAAAACCCACACTGACATGACACCCGACTGAGAAGGAGAAAGACACTCCCTACATTTCCCTTGCACACCAGAGCCTGGGGGGCCCAGCCTCATAGAGTTTGTGTGCTCTAGCACAGTTGTGGGGCAGTTGTGGGGCTGGAATGCCAGCACAACCTCCCCAATGCAAGTGTGGGCCTTGAGCTTCAGGGGCCAAATCCAGGCAAGCTGGGGGCCACATCTGGCCCCCAAGACTGAGGTTCCCCACCCCTGGTCTAAATCATCCCTAATAAATGTTCATCTAAACTGCTATTAAATATCTCCAGTGATGGAGATTCCACAACCTTCCTAGACAACTTAACTGTCAGGAAACACTGGAATAAGAAGTTTTTCCTAATGTCCAAACTAAATCTTTCTTGCTGCAATTTAAGCCCATTGCTTATTGTCCTATGTTAGAGGTCAAGGAGAACAATTTTTCTCCTTCCCTCTTGTAACACCCTTTTAGATACCTGAAAACTGCTATGATGTCTCCTTTCAGTTTTCTCTTTTCTAAACTAAACAAACTGAATTTTTTCAGACTTCCCTCATAGCTCAGGTTTTCTAGGCCTCTAATCATTTTTGTTACTATTCTCTTGACCTTCTTCAATTTTTCCACACGTTTCTTGAAATGTGATGCCCAGAACTGGACACAATACTCCAACTGAGGCCTAATCAGCGCAGAGTATAGTGGAAGAATGACTTCTCATGTCCTGCTCAAAACACTTCTGTTAATGCACCCCATCTTAAGCAGGCATAACTCTGATATGAATTTTGACATACACATTAACAAATAATTATATCTAATTTGATTGCAAGTCATTATAAACTAAATTCTGTACTTTTATGCAACATTTAAAATTATTTTACTATTTGATCAGCTGTAGCAATACCCTATTACACTTAAAACTGGATTCATGTTTGTCACTAAAATGAGTTAGTACATAGAGGTTCAAAATAATGGGACAAGCAGAGAACTACAGATATTGAAAAGGATGACTGATGATACGCTTAGTTATTTATGATTTAGTTTATGTCATAATATTTATTCTCAATATATAGCAAAATACTTAATGGGTCCCCTTGTAATTGCATAGATAGTTTTTATACATGTCTCGCCTTTATACATGCCTTGTCTTAAAAGGAGGGGAAACCATAATACATGTGTTAGATTAGTTTACTTAATCTTCCATCCAGAATTCAGAGTACATTAACAGATTTAAACAAAAGCTGTGTCCCTCAAGCAGAAAAGTTTTACGAGGAAAAAGAAGCCATACTGTTTAAAATCCATTTCATATATTAAAAAAATAACTGTTTTGTCAAAGTAAGATGATATTTAGGGATGTCAGAATGTGTTTAATTAACCGCTGACATTTCCAGCGGTTACATGCTTACACACAGGAGGTTGGGGGATTTCCTGACAGCCTGTCCTCTCCCCCCCCACATTGCTGCCTCTGATAGAGGCAGCAGCGCAGGGGGGGCAGTTGGGTCCTTGGGAGATGATACACATGACTCATCAGTTAATCATGTACAGGGTTACACTTTCACATCACTAGACGGATATATTTCTCTTACAAATGTATATTCATACGGTGTGTTCAGAAACTAGAGATGGAGGTCATACAAGTATGTAAGACATTATTTCACACTTCTGCCTAATTACATGTGGCTATCACTGTTATTGAAATAATAATTTATTCTGGACTTAATAGAATAAACATTTAAAAAACTGAAGAGAAACTTCAAGTGCTGCCTTACTAAATTGTCAGCAATTTAATAGTGGCCCATCTGGTACTAAGCAGCCTACACTGATCCAAATCATGTTTTTTAACTTACCAGATTTTCTCTTTCAATCCTTTGCTGCTCCTTCTGCCTGTTGAGGGCACTATGGTATAACTTAGGTGGCAGGCTATCAGGTTTCTTCAGAGTGGCACTTTTGCTCCTTGGCTTTTCAGATTGTCTGGACAGTTCTTTTAATAGCCTTTGGTTTTCCCGATCAATTTGTCTTACTTTCTCATTTGTGAAAGAGTAATTTTTCCTTGACCCTGGAGAAGGCTGATCAACGACCAGTTGTTGCTGTTCTTTTTTCTCCAAATGTAGAAAAGCTTTAAAAACATAAAAACAAAGAGCACACACTCAGATGAAAGACACCACATGCAAATTATTTTATATTACTATGCTTTATTTATAGACCTAGGAAAAATAAGTCAGAATTTTTCTACACATGGACCTGCAATTCAGCATTTAGATACCTGTAATAAGTGTCCTTATGTTCATAACTCTCAAGCGCCATCACCACATTTAGTTTAATAGGAGCTGCCTGGCACATCTGCAAATCATGCCACTTGTTCAGTTAGAAAATGTTAGCCATCACATTTTCTTCTCTGAGGACCTGTGGCTGAAAGGTGCTAAGCACCTAAAACTCTCAGGCTAGTTATAAGGTGCAATTAGTTTATTTGTTTTTTTTTATGTTTTTCCTGTTACAGATCAACTTGGCTACCCGCTGAAGCTTTCAATATTCAAATGAACCATCAGTATGTAAATACACACTATCACAGGCATGTGCAGCACATTTCATTAGGGTGTGCACCCAAAGAATTTTTTAAATGTACTTTGACCCCCATTAGCCACACCCCTGACGCCCATTGGCCACACCTCTGGAGGTAACACTCTCCGGACAAGATGGACACATGACCAGAAGTAAAAGGTGTCATGTGATCTCCTTCTAAGGACTTTCCCCACCTTCCTTCTACCAATAGGGATTAGTTTCCCCCCCCCCCAAACCTCCCTCATGCAACTGTCCTGCCCCCCCCCCAACCCTCCCTCATGCAACTGTCCTGCAATTGCATTCCCCCAGCCTCTCCACCCCCAAGTTAATGTGATACACACTGGGGTAAGTGTTCCCTCTAAGAGTTTCCTCCCATGAGCAGAATGAATTTTGTGTTGTGCACCTGTACTGAGTTCATGTGGCTTGTTTGGATGTGCCACTGTGGCACCCAAGTTATTAATAAATCTCATAAACCTCTACCTTTTCCCTTTGTTGACATGTCTCCTCCCCTTGCTCCATCAGCTCCCCTGGTGCCTGCTGCCCCCCAACCCCTCACCCTCCTCTGCTGTCACGACTCCTGCCCTTCTCACTGCCTTCAGCCTTCCTGCGACCTTCCCGCCCCACCAGCCCTTCTCTCCCCCCGTACCCACTCCTCCAGTAGCCCCACTCTGATCATGTGAGCTACCTCTCCTCCTCCCCTCTCCCAACACCTCCCTCTACATACCTGCCCTGCCTCTCTTCTCTGGTGCTGGTCTCCCCCCCTGCAGGTGTCTGTCCTTCTGCTTCACCCCCAGAATCCCCTGGCACCAGCACCTTCCCTTACCCCTGCACCCTCCTGGTACCCCCCTTCCTCACTGCCCCTGCCCCCTTTTCCCTCTTTTTCCCTGATGTCCACCCCCTCACCACCCTCTGCCCCCGTTCTCCTCATGCCTCTGTGGGGATGGAGCAAGTCGTGTGTGGACACTTTCCTCATGTCCATTCCTTCTTTCAAACCTTCTCCCAAAGGGGGGAGAAGCCCCACAGCTGGTGATAGGAGCTGGGAATGCAGCCCAGCTTCCACAGAGCTGCACTCCTGCGGCTCCACATCCATCCTGCCTCTTCCCCAAGCTCACCCCTACTTCCCTCCTAGAATAATCCTCTCACCTATATCTCAGATATTGAAGCCTTCAAATACTTTGAAGACCCCAAGATGCAGAGAATCCTCCAGCTGTGATCTGTACCCCATGCTACAGAGGAAGGCGAAAAACCTCCAGGGTCTCTGCCAATCTACCCTGGAGGAAAATTCCTTCCCAACCCCAAATACACTTGGTCCCCTGGCATTTGTGTCTACTCTACCCTGTCCCTTGATGCCTTCTCCTTTCTTCTCCTGACCTGATCCCTTCCCCTCAGCACAAGCCCCTTCCTCTCCCACCCCTTCCTCTTATTTTTCCACCATCCTCTCCCCACCCCTCCCTTCCCTTAGGCTTCTGCCTTCCAATTCGCGGGGCTGGACTCAGAGCTGGCTCAAACTACAGGCCGGCCGGCCAGGCCCTACCCTGGTGTGTCCCTGGGGTGCTGTGCGGTGCCGCCGGGACGGGGCGGGGTCCAGGTTGCAAAAATGGCTCGGGCCAGCCAACCTCTGTAGTTGGGCCCAGCTGCTTCTGGAGCTGGGCTACGCGGTTTTAAAGTCCTGGGCCGTGACATCATGCCACGCCCAGGCATCTTCCCTCTTACCTGTGCACTCTCTGCCCCACAGTGCCCCGTAGATGGCTGCAGGGAATTTAAAATGAGGGGCTGTAGTGCCCCGTCACAAATCCCTCTCCTCCTCCAGCAGCCACTAGCCAGCCCGAGACATTAGGGTGTGCCTGGGCACACCCGGCACACCCCGTGCACACGTCTATACACACAATCTATGCTGTAGATCAGGCCTGGGCAAAACACAAAACTGTGGGCAGTCTCAGGCTCCCCCACTCCATTCAGAGGAGAAAAGCAGCTGCTGCAGAGCTCTGTTTAAACAGCTGAATAGCTGCAAGCTCAGGGGAGGGGAGAGAGGTTTCACACTGTCCTCCCCTACCCCAAGCACAATCTCATTGGCTAGTTTCCAATGGGAGTTGCCTGCTGTCAACAGGCAGCTAGCTAAGCTACCATCCCTGTTCCAGCTCATAGCTATTTAAAGATCACATGGCCCCTGCAGCCAGAGAGTCGGTCTGAGAGGTCTGAGAAGGCTGCTGGCCAGGAGCCAAGCAGGTAAGTCTCCCGGCCAGAGCTTGCCTCTTGCACCCCAACCCTCTGACTCTCACTCCACATAACCCAAACCCTAAGTGCCCTCCTGCCTCCATATTCTATCCGAGATCCTGCCCCAGGTCACACCACCTCCTGTCGCAGGTCACAACCAGTGTTCCCTCTAGGCTGTGCAGCAGCTCAGCTTCACAGATGATTAATCATCCCTGCTCCTCTTCTCCCTCTCCCCGTCAGTGCAAGGGAAATACAGGATAATGTGCCTATTTAAAAAAAAAAATTCTGGATGACAGGAGGACTTAAATAAGGGACTGTTCCAATAAAAATGGAACAGATGGTCACCCTACCCAGGTCACAAACGTCTCTTTTACCCAAACTCCTTCGCATTCCCCACACCCTCTCCTGTACCCCAGTTCCTTAACACAAGCTCCCTTCTGGACGCACTCTCCAGCCCAGACCCTATACCTCCTCCATTAATATCATGGAAGAGTGCAGCCCTTGACTACTTTCCAAATTCTTGGACTCGTCCTTCATAAAAAATTATTGCCCACCTCTGCTGTAGATACTTTAACTGTTGGGGACATGACAGATGGACATGCAATTAGGGTATCCTATGTCTTCAGACATGGCCAACAGACACACAGGAGCAAACGTAAACTGGAGTTTTCTGTTATGGTTATGTGTCTACTGTAGCAGAAGCTCAACTACACCCTACAGAAGCATAGTTGTACAACACACATTCTCTCCCCCACATTCCAAGGAGTATACACAGATTCTTTTGCATTCCCCTTTATTGTAGTCATCAGTCCTCTCTGTCTGTAAGTGGGTAGCCCTGGTCTTGGTCCAATAACGGCACTCATTGCCCCAGCCCTGTTTATGCTTACCCCGGCCATGACCTTTGTTGCCTTACAAGGAGCTGTTTTTGAGCATTTGGGGCTTTTATCAGTGAACATCTGTAGACTTGCGGTTTAGTGGTTTCCCATATGCATCTTCTACCACTTATCTTACCAGACAGAGCCAATGAAATCTAGAGCCAGCCGCCCTCATTAACAAATTAGAGCAAAGAGAAAAACAGACACTGAGATGGACGCAAATCAGCAGTGTGCAAAGCTGTTTCCCTTTGACTGGCCGTTATCAGCACAAGCTAGGCTCTAGGCAGACAAGAACCTACTGCTTTGTACCTTTACACACATAATCCTACATTCGCTTGTCTAATGAAAAGGATACATGGGGAAAACTAATTATAGTGAAGACAGTTTCTCCTTGAATATGACACCAAAAGTCATTACAGATGCCATAGTAATAACGTGTATGTGTGTGTGTGTGTGTGTGTGTGTGTGCACGCGCGCGCCACTAATACCATGCTACCATAGCACTGAACCCAGATGTTGGCACAGCAGTGGACTCCTTTATGATACCAACATAAGCCTCACAGAAGTTTTCTAGCAGTTGTAATACAATTTCAGGAAGATCAGGGCTAGAAACTGCTCCATGGCTCTCTGCCCCAATAGTGCAATAGGGAAGGAATCACATTTTAGAAATACAAGTAGTTGCCTGTGTGAGGAATACAGGAACTTCCTAGAGAAATAAAAACATATTTCCTGAAGATTACCATGAATTTGGTACAAGACTCCCAAACAGAAGGGATTTATAAGTGGTCCTTGTTGGGGAAGAGAGAAATAAGCAAGTAAATGTATGGCCACTTAAAAACAAATAATGGAGAAAAAGAGATGAACCTGGACTGGAACTATTAAAATAGTCAGTAAACACAGAATTTTAAAAAGAGTGATATGACACCACAGAACAAAAATAAAGAGTGAAAACACAAATTTCTCGCCTCAGAGTTCTTCAATATGCCAAGGAATATTTGGCATTTTCAAATGGGCAGTTTCTTGTATCAGAAATATTTGGTTCAAAGATAAAAGTTAATTAGCAATAAAGGCCAAGCCTCTCAAAAGTTATTATTGGGTGCCTGGCTTGATGCCATTATACACAATTCCAAGGAGAATGATTTTCAGCAAATGCTGAGCACCATCTTTGTAAGAAATCAGGCTCCTTTAAGTATTTCAAATTAAGTTCTCAAAAACTAAGAGTGATCACAAGTCACTTCTGGAAAACTTGGCCTAAGTGCTAACACTTAAAAGAGCCAGAAAAGCTTTTTGTCAAATCCAAACAGTTCTCATAGGAACAATTAAACTCGATCACCAGAAGAACCTCCAATAAATATAAGAATTTAACTTCAGCAACACTATCTGCAGCACAGGTCATATCAGGAAAGACAGTTTAGTCGGTTTGTCAAGATAGTATACAAATTACCAATATATACTACAATGTAAAACT